TAAATTTATAAAATTTATATTTAATATAAAGTTAGTGTCGTTTGATCATTCTTCTATAAATTATATTATAATTAAAAATTCATAAATAATTTTTTTAAAATATATAAATTATTTTTTAGATTTATAATAAATAAATTATATTATGATACAATTATTTGTAATTATTGATAGTTTATTATAAAATATTAAAATTTAATTAATAAATTTGTTTATATGATGAATAAAAAATTAAATAGGATAAAAAATTAAAAAGAAATTCTAAAATTCTCTTATCTCGAAGAAAAATGTATTCTTTTATTAAAGGAAATTTTTTAAACACACTATTATATAAGATAGTCATTTTTATTTAATATGTAAAGGTAAATTTAAAGTCGATATTTTTTTTATAATGAATACACATTTTTTTTATTATTGTTGTAAAATTAATAATGAATTCATGACTAATTAAGATAATTATGTCAATATAGTTAACTATAAGTCAGTATAATTCAAATATTATGTATTTTTTAACTTGTACATTAGATGAAATTAGGCCAAGTATACCTAATTATAAATGAGAAAAAATTAAAATATTTAATTGTCATAATTAAAACTTAAAATGTTAAAATCATACGATTACAATATTTGAAAGAGAGAGTGAGATAGAAAAGTTACAAGTAAGTCAAATATTAACATTTCATTTCGTTACATAACATTAGTGTATGTTTGAGAACTCATCCGACAAGCATGTATATATTAAAAACTATATGAAATTAAATGTTTCACCAAAAAAATTATAACTTCTTACTTATATTAGATGTGGAGAACAAATGCATATACAATTGCAAATTAATTACTTTCCAAACACTGCGTGCTCAATCAATTAATGGGGGCTGCTAGTGAGATCAATATTTAGTGATTTGGTTGAACTTGTGTGACAGAGTAAACTAGCCCCTTACCCATGTCAACTTTAAATTTTAAACTAATATAAATGAGTAATTCTTATGTATCTTAGGATTCATTCATTGCACTCAGAGTTTATAATTTGAATGTTCTCTAAGTT